ACAAGTCCGAAATTCCGGTTGGCCAAATTCTGGCCAATGAGCGCAAGCGAAAACCGAATGGCGGCCAGAATGAATGTTTCTACTGTAACGGCAAGTACAACGAAGGTGCCAAGGTGCACATGAAGAAGGACTGCCCAAAGCGCAAGGAAGATTTTGCGAAGGGGTACTACCGCACGTCCATCTACAAGGCGGCGAAGAGTGGTCCTGCTAAGGTGGCGGCGGTGCGCGCTACTCGCAGTGAAGTGGCCGTGGGCCAGGTGGAAGTGGCCACTCCAAGCGGCGGCGATCGCACTGCCACGGACATGGAGGAGGCGGCTGCTAGCCTGGATGACCTCACCATGCAGTTGGAGTATGCGGTAAGATTAACCTCGTCTCATCTATTACATGGAGGAGGCGGCTGCTAGCCTGGATGACCTCACCATGCAGTTGGAGTATGCGGTAAGATTAACCTCGTCTCATCTATTACATGAGAGTAGTGTAGTTACTAAGAATCATTGGGTCTTAGATTCTGGATGCGGAGTGAGCCTCACTGGTAGAGCTGAAGTGTTTGTACGAGCTAAAGTTGATACCTCGTATAGATTTAGCTTTCCAAATAATGGCTCTTTGGATAATTCACATGTTGGATTGATTCGTTTGTGCTTGTTGGGACCACTTGGACTCAAAGAGTTTGAGTTTGACAACGTCGCCTATGTCCCGGGGTCAGCTACCAACATAATTAGCGAGCGCCTCCTGCAAAAGTGTGGATACACAGTGGTGAATGGTCACTCCCCTAAGTTTAAGTTCATCCTGAAAGGGTATAAACTGCAGTTTGTAGCTGTAGCAATTGCAGGGTCCTACTACATCAGGCACATGAGTACCAAGGAACGCCAAGTTGTGTGTCAAAGCGTCAAGGCACAAACATATAAAGGAGATACTCTAACACTAAGCAAAGTGGAATATATACTGAAAGAATGGCATGTGAGGCTCGGTCACGTTGGTCGAGCTATGCTTGTTCGACTTCTCAGCAGTGGACAAGTCAAAGGTGTGCCAAAGATTGAGGCCAAAGTACTCAACGAAGTGGCATTCTACTGTAAGGTGTGTGTGCAAATGAAGAGCAATAGAGTGTCCTATAGGAACTTACAAGGGTCGAGGGACAGCGATGTCTACAGCACTCTGCATTCTGACACGAACAGTCCCATGAAAGTGAAGGGGCAATATGGTCCTCAAGCTGGGATAAAGTACTACGTAAATCTGATTTGTGACAAGTCATCATGGAAGTGGTGTTTTCCTATTTGCAAGAAAAGTGAATAAGATCTGTGCGAGTACTGCGAACTGATGGAGGCAGGCAAAGAGTTCGTCAACAAGGCCCTGGAAGACTTCTGTCGTCTCCAGGGAGTTCGATTTGAGAAGTCCCTGGAGACGACAGAAGTGTCGGAGGAACGTGACCACCAAACTAAGTTTGGTAAAATTCGATGTGCCCTAAATGATGCACAAATGTCAGCAAAGTGGTGGCCAGAAGCCCTAATGTATGGCAACTACATCCAAAATAGGACACCTAGTGCGAGGTTGGCATATAAAAGCCCATACGAAATAGTGTATGGGAAAACTCCGGATCTAAGCTGGATGCAAGTTTGGGGCTGTGTATGCTATGCTCATGTCGCACATGATATCCGACACGACAAAAAGCTCTCAGCACGTCGAATCAAATGCAGATTCTTAGGAATCGCTGATGACTACAAAGGATATCGGCTTCTAAATGTACACACAAATCGGTTCTTCATTGCTCGGGATGTCCAATTCGATCGTGAATATGGTGAGAAGGTCGTGAGGAATGCATTCGATTCGAATGAGTCCGACCTTACTAGTAAAAAAAGTAAGCAAGTTTCAACTCTCGAATTGAATTCAGGTGAAACTGAAACGCCTGCTACAAGGAGTACAATGTCAGTGGGAGATATCGAAGCAGATTGTAATTCTGACAATCCGGATTGCCAAGAGGTTGAACTGTTGACACCTCGACCGAAGAGAACACAGAGGATTCAGTTCATTTGAAGGACTATAAGTGTTACCAAGTCCAAATGCACAAGATTAAGGTTCAACGTCATGACCTACTCGGAGTCAACATGGCCATCGTAGTGCCTCGGTCACTGAAGGCAGCTCTACTCACACTTCAGCGAGAAAACTGGATGGGAGCAGTGAACTCAGAATATGGTTCATTGATGGATAATGCTACCTGGGATTTAGTTAGTTTGCCCCAAGGAAAAACTGCATTACCATGTTATACATTGGGTGTTTAGTGTAAAGTACACATCCATCGGTGAAATTGAAAGATATAAGGCGAGACTTGTTGCCAACGGCCAGTTTCAACAGTATGAACTACGTCCTCTGTCCCATATTACTGGTCGATATGAAAAACACACTTGTTCCATATTACTACTACAAAACTCATATGATTGGCTTACAAGAATATTCAGCACTTTCATTGGATATTAATCCCTAGCCTACAGTAGCAGCGAGACAGGGCAGGACACGTTCGACATGAGAAGTCCGGCGCGGCGCAGAGCCGCCTTCTTCAGATGAGGCAAGGCAAAGTTGTTGTCGCCAGCATGCTCGAGTACCAGCCGCATCACCGCTTGAAAGGTGAGAAATACGCTCTCGAGCTTCTCATAGCTCAACTCGTCAAATGCAGCGAGAGTGTATTGGATTACCTCATCCACAGTGCGACTGACCTTCTTCAACTGCAGTGATTGAATAGAAGCGAAGAACCCGAGGTCCAGCACGTTCAAGTCCGGGCTGTTTGGGGGCTGGCGGCGCACGACAAACGTCCATCCGTCCGTTGAGACAGACACCAACTCCGCGTCCGTGATCGAGCGATGTGGCGTAGCATTGTCTTGCTGTAGGATGACGCGCTTGTTCGTGCTTGGGAATGACGCCTTGATTGCTGGTACGACCTTGTTGATGACATAGTCTCGATACACCTGGGCATTGACGTTGACCAAGGTTGTGACCAACGTGCCAGCAGGACGATTCCGGGACGAACGGACAGCGGGGACCAAGGACGTGAAGGGCCACATCCCAACCTTGCCATGGAACAGAACGCCACGGCCTTCGTCAAAGCGTGGGCGTGCCACGGCAGCCAGGAACATCACTTTCGGGATGAACCTCTTACTCTTCCACGACCGACGCTGAGGTGCCTCATCAGGCAGTAGGTACACAGTTCGCCGGTCCTTGTCTGCGTTGAACCACTTCTCATCCAAGTGGACGACGTCCCATAGGGGGTCGAATTCGACGCAAGAACCGGCTTCGCCGGCGCCGGCATGGCCGGCGAGACCCGCGAGCGGCAAAACTGGACACGTTCCAGCTTGTTGGCGTCGGACAGGAGGGGCTTGATGCGCGTGGAACGACGGCGGAAGGTCCCCTTCTTGAGGTGCCGGCTCAGCGTCCCGAGTGCGATGCCAGTGGCGACAGAAATGTCACGCATCGTGGAGCGTTGGTCGATGGGAACTGCACCCACGCGCTGTTGGATGGCCTGGGACGTGTATCGCAGTCTCCGTCCAACGTTTCCCGTCTTGCTGGATTTGGTCGTTCCGTCGTTACGGAACTTGCGCCAGGTGTAGGAAACCGCACGTGCACTGACGTCGAGTGCTTCCGCGGTCTTGGCGAAGGCGCCATGGGTCAACCTGCCACCCTTGACGAACTAACTAACAGGTGTAGGTGTCGGATCACCTCGTCTCTCTTGGTGCTGGAAAGCTCGCGTGTGGCTTGGGTCATGGCGGCAAATTCAAAAGTGTGTTGATCAATATATGTGGCGTGTTTATATTTGGGTGGTGGATATTGGCTGTTGATTTTGAGCGCCAAAATTCAATTTCAGCTCTTGACAGCCAATGGACGGTTACTGTGGATTTTTATGCTCTCTATTTAATGATATCTTTCATCGAATTTGGTCAAGAAATTAATTTTTGGGGTCGACGAGAAGTCAAATCGATAAGTAATATGGGACAGAGGAAGTAGATTACGATGAGGTATATGCTCCTATGGCTCGGTTTGAGTCGTTAAGGCTAGTACTTGCGGTTGCAACGGTCTTGGATTGCGAAGTTCATCAAATGGATGTGCATACAGCGTTCCTAAATGGGAAACTGGACACTGAGGTTTTTATGCACCAACCTCCTGGATTTCAAAACAGAGGACTGAAAGGTGAGCATTTGGTGTGCAAACTACTGAAGAGCATATATGGCTTAAAACAAGCACCAAAGATTTGGTATGCAGTCCTCCATGAGTTCCTTACTACAATTGGCTTTTCACGATGTGACAAAGAGTATAGCATCTATGTGAAAAGAGTGGGAGGATTGAATGAGTTGATAAATGACATGTGCACGATTGATGATTGGATAATAATAGTCGTGTATGTCGATGATTTGACTATAGTGTCACCAAAATCAGAAGAAATCAGCAAGCTCAAAATTGAATTGAGCAATCGGTTCAAAATGAAAGACTTGGGCAACATCCATTATATCCTCAAAATGGAGGTTCAAAGAAACAGAAGTGCCAAGACCATGACAATAAGCCAACAGAAGTACATCAAGGACTTATTGGTGAAGTTTGGCCAAGAAAATGCAAAAGAAGTATCAACTCCTCAGTTAGTGGGAGTCGAGTTAGAACCTGAAACAAAGTTGTCGAAAGAGCAAATTGACAAGCAGCCATTTGACTATAGAGGCATAGTCGGATCACTGCAGTACCTGGTTCGAGGTACTCGTCCAGATATCGGTAACGCCGTTCAAGAACTAAGTAAGCTTCTTTCGTGTTACAATGATACTCATTATTATGCTGCACTGAGAGTGCTGAAATACTTGAAGGGAACATCTAAACATGGACTATATCTTGACGGGAAGTGCAAATATATATTTTATGACGTGTACACTGATGCATCTTTTGCGAGCCAAATAAGGATCGGAAAAGTATTACTGGATATTTGATCCGAATGGCTGGAATATGCATATCATGGGCAAGCTGCAAACAAATGTGTGTGTCGTTATCAACTGTTCAAGCAGAGTTGATAG